GTTTCTCACCCAATTTACAATACATGGGGCAATGCTCGAGCAGCATATGTCCGACACAAAAAAGGCTTAATCCATCCAAAAAATTGTAATTGTGACAAAACAATATACGTTCACCTACAAGTACAGATCGTTTGATCTGGAGGACAATGTCAACGTAGACTACATATATCTAAGACGTAGTTTTTAAAGGTCGTCATTATTTCCTTCGTGGAGATGCATATATATTTTTAGGGGAGAAGCTTCCTATGGTGTGGCTTGTGCGTCCTCCTTGTGGGTAACCGCCCCTCGTTAATTCTTTAACCGGGCATAGAGGGCGCTTCTTGTACTGTCAGCTAAAATACAAATGGTACGACAGAAGAGGGCTTACTTGTATACAAGAAGGATTGACGTTACACGTACGAAAGGAGAGAGAGACGATCACGTGACTACGCTCACGCGTTATTCAGTGGCACCGTAAGCCAGGGAGTGCTCTATAATACAATAAAAGCGCCATTTTGGCGCGCGCGCGCGCTTCCAGTTCTCGGTTGCGGAGGATGAACAAGACTTCTGAGCGGCGTGCGCGCAGGGTGACGGCGGCTTTGGCCGAAGAAGACACCCCGACGTGTGGGGGCACGAGGCAGAAACGTAAAAAGGAGCTGCGTGGCGGCGCCGCGAAGACCCTGCAGTAGTGCAACGGGAGGTCGGAGTGGCGTGGCAGCTGCGTGCGGAACCAGCTGCACCCCACTCTCCATCATTCACCCCGTGGTTATGCTGTCATTTTTATACTCCACCAGACCTAATCGACAGATTCTTTATTGAACTAAGAAAGTTTCATAACCTCTTTAAGTAAGGTGGGGTGAAATATGGGGCGAAAAGTTGAAAAAATATCAAAACCAGCTTTTTAAATTTAATTGGCTAACGCAGAAACACAGAGCAGTAAATTCTTTCTTGCGATTACTAGGCCTAAGGTATGTACTAGCTGCGTCGAATGAAACCTGAACAGCGGCCAGCCATCGCGATGGTATAGGGCAAGCCGTCCTCTTATCACCATCGACTGGCACGCATACATGCGCAGAGGTGCAGAACAGGATGCGAGCGCCTGTAAATTGTAATAGCTGAATACGCGTACAATATCATCTCGAAAGCTTGGACTGTTCGATTTTCATTTTACACAGAGAGTACGTTGTTCTCACCGGGGCAAGTCTATATAAAACCCGAAAAAATTGTCGCAGATGCCTCATTTCGCGGCAACCTGGCAAGAAAACAGAATGTGTGCATAACTACGCAACATCATCAAACTTATTTATTTATTTATTTATTTATTACATACTGCTGACCTGTTTACCAGGCCTTAAGCAGCAATGGGCATACAGAAATGTTTCCTACAAAAAACATAATTGGCATCACACAGCATACTGACAGTGGTTACAATTCAACACTTTTGTATCAATTTACAAAAAACTAAAGAAAAACATTACAACAATGGCATAGCTTTGCTGACTGAAACTTACTAAAAAATGGAAGCATTGCGTAACTCTGGGCTGCATGACTGTACAAAAAAAAACTGTTAGTGGTTATTGAGAGCATGTATAAATAAATCAACTGTTGGACACTGTACAGCATCGGGTGATAGGCGATTCCACTCACGGGTAGTTCTTGGAAAAAATGAATACATGAATGTGTCTGTGCGGTTTACGTAATCAAGAACTTTCTTTGAATGACGTGAGCGCACAGCATATTTACTTATTTTTGATTGATGGATTGATTTGTGGGGTTTAATTTTCCAAAACCACTATTTGATTATGAGAGACGCCGTAGTGGAGGGCTCCGGAAATTTCGACCACCTGGGGTTCTTCAACGTGCGCCCAAATCTGAGCACACGGGCCTACAACATTTCCTCCTCCATCGGAAATGCAGCCGCCGCAGCCAGGAATCGAACCCGCGACCTGCGGGTCAGAAGCCGAGTACCTTAGCCACTAGACCACCGCGGCGGGGCTATTTACTTATTATTTTTTTTAAATGTGCACTGTTTTGTTCATACCAATTTTGTTGTGGAAAATGAGGTAAAAAAGCTTGAGCCTCTCCATTCTTCTTCTCTGCTGTAGTTTTTCGAGATCCGCTTTAATTAGTAGAAGTGAAGGGGAAGTACGCCTACTATAATAATTAAAAACAAATCGGACAGTCTTCTTTGGACCATTTCTAATTTTTAATATTGGACTCAGTAAAGGGATCCCACACTGCAGCTCAATATTCTAATACTGGTCTAATGGAAGTTTTGTACGCGAGAAGTTTGACGTGTGGTGTGGCATTCACAAGCCTCCTGCAGAAATAGCCAAGCTTTTTCATTGCCCATACATGTGCTACATACATGTGCCAGCTACATGTATGTGGCACATGTATGTGCCACATACATGTAGCTAGCACATGTATGTAGCACATGTATGGGCAATGAAAAAGATGTGGCACATGTATGTGCCACATACACTATTTTCACAGCCGTGAAGAAAAATAGAACGAAACAGGCCGATGCGTTAATAATTGCTTGAGGAAGCACGCTTACTCTATAAAAGACTCCATTCCTAGCCACTTGGCGGACCAATGTAAAAAGTGTGGCTGTCAGCCATTTTTTGACAAGTGTGTGCTTATGGGGGGATATAAGATTCGGCGCGAGCACGAGATTAGCGAAGCCTTCGACATTCAACAATTTGGTGCTTCATATGTTAGCGTTCTTTCGATTTTTCTTCACGGCTGTGAAATTAGGTATCTAGGGTCCACTGATACTACTGGCTCTTGATAAGGTAGGCCATTTGGCAAATGTTTGTGCAAGTTTGCTGATGTTGCATGGTTATGCGCACATTCTGTTTTCTTATATATTGCAGTTGATTTGCAATAAACTTTAGTTAGTTAAGCACGTTGTTCTTGTCTATTCTATCTCCGCGTGTCGTTTGTGCTGTTAAGCACTTTCTTCGTCTGCTTCCATTGAAAATGCAGCCGCCACAGCCGTGATTCAATGCCGTGACCTGCGGATCAGAAGCCGAGTGCCTTAGCCACTAAACCACTGCGGCGGGGCTAGGTGAGGTTAAGCAAACGCACCGAAATGCACCAAACACATAGGCCTGCAACGTGGCAACAATATGCACTAATACAATGATAAAATAACGAGCGATTTTTAGGTAATCTGCATTTGCGTACAGCATTTCGGCATCCTTCAGCCATACGGTAATCTACACCACGATTTCAGATGTCTGATTAATGGGACTTTTCTGGGTAGGCAGTCTGCGTATGCGCGCGGGCCTTAAAGAGGCACGCACCATGACTATTGGCGCCCAAACCTTGACTACACGAGCGGACCAAGCGCCATCTAGTGCCCGAAACCAAAACAGGCAAATGTTTGCGCAAAAAAGAGGCACAAACGCAGGCCTCCCAGATTACGTACTAGTGTGTGGTGGACCATTTCGGAGTCCAAGAGCCACCAGTTTTGACCTCACTCTTCTGTTTAAGAGTGAGGTTTTGTGCTTTGCTAGGCTTTCTAAACTATGTTCCGTAAAAATGACAGATTTCTTACCGTATTTCATAGTTGAAACACTGTGATATCATGAATTGCCTCCAAGAGGGAAGTTCATTAAATTGTTGAGCAGGCAACTAGCGGAAGGAAAAGCTTAACCTTGTTCAGGCTAGGAAGGCGACAGCAGCATAACTAAATTTCGATATTCATCATGCTTCCGCATATCCTTTCGCCAGCCTATTATTTCGTACAAGTGTTTCTTAAGCAAAACGTTAAAAGCAGATTACTGTATTAGCTGTCTCATGCGAGAACGTCAGTAAACGAGGTGCCAGTAAGTTAGGAATTTCACGCCTTATTTAAAAGAGCAAATTTATGTATTTCAGCAGGGCATGCTTGATACGACCAATCCCGTTAACCAAATCTACTTTTCCTTGGTAACTATGGTCCCATTAAAACGACTTAGAAGCTCGGGACAACATTTTCTAGCCTGATTTTTCGTGTTTATCGCCAAAGTGCATCCTGAAAACCCTGGAACTTCTACCTGTCATAGGGTTGCTGCAAGAAAGTAATGCGACATGTTCTTTATTATTCTGTCTGTGATTTGCGAGGGTCTTTTTGTGGGATTTCTGGAAAAGCTATAGATGAGGCTTTTGAAACTGATTTTTCAATAGGCCTATTTTTCAACAAACTTGAAAGTTTAGGGCCGTTTAAAAGTATGTGTTTGAGATATGGCTATGGTGTTGACTGGCGATATTGTAAAGATGACGTAGTAATAGGTCACCAAGCTATGAAAACCTAGATATTTTATCTTAGGAGAAAACAAATGCGAAATATAAAAAACTTTTAAAAATTTTCACTTGTTCAGATATATTTCACAAACAGCTTGCCTCAGCCTAGAGGCTTGAAAAAATGCTGCTTCTATCTTCAATACATGTATACTTATAAGAAAAAAAATCGTCTTCGCCGCATTATTACTTGCGTTTTCATGTAGTGCTCAACTTTCGAGACTGGTCCTTCTTTACAAAATTGGTTCGATATATCTGCTTCTAAATTATGCAGCTAATGAAAAAACAAAGTTCACTCTCGGGCTACAGGGTGTCATGAGTACCAAATATAAAATAAATAATCCAATCTAAATTATCAATTTTCGGGCCCGTGTCGATTTCCAGTGGAGTCACCCATTACCAGTTTTCTGACGTCGTTTCAGCAACACCGTCATGGCCTAAAAAATAAGCAATAGTGCATGTGCAAATAACTGAAGCTGCAGAATAAGAATGGCGAGGGAGAGTGACGTTAAGCTTTTGCATAAAAAAACTTGAAATAGGTCATACCATAGAGAGCAATCTGTAAACGACACGATATGCCATTGTTTTCTTGATGATATTGCATAGTCTGATGGTGGTATCTTACTGATTTTATTTATGTGAGTAAAATTATTCCGGCTTAAAGTAATGAGGAAGTGGTCATCTTTCATATACACGTTTTGCAAGTGAACCAATAGCCATGAACAAACAGCCATACCGAAGAAATATTCTTTATTAATGATTTCAGAAGCAATAACAAAAGAGTGAGTGTTAAGCCAAAGAATTCATCGTAGCATTACACATTTGGTTTGGTCTACCACTTGATATGTAGCCAAACGTTCGTCTACTCAACATGTTTAACTGTAAGCCATCAATTCAACCAAACGTTTGTCCGGCCAACGAGTCAAGCTGACGGTCATCTTTTTTGCCGAAGGCTTGCCCAGCTAACGAGTACAGCTGTCGAGCATCTTCTCTGCCGAAGGTTTGTCCAGCTAACTAGTCAAGCTGACGGCCATATTCTCTGCCGAAAGTTTGTCCAGCTAAAGAGTCAAGTTGACGAGCATCTTCTCGGCCAAAGGTTTGTCCAGCTAATGAGTCAAGCTGACGTCCATATTCCCTGCCGAAAGTTTGTCCAGCTAATGAGTCAAGCTGACGAGCGTCTTCCCTGCCGAAGGTTTGTCCAGCTAATGAGTCAAGCTGTCGGCCATATTCCCTGCCAAAGGTTTGCCCAGCTAATGAATCAAGCTGACGTCCACCAATCCTAGCTTCTTCATTGCCAGCCTTTCCTGAAACAGGGCTCACTGCTGCTTTTGCTTCTTCGGCAAAAGCAATAGCTAGGATGCCTGCAAAAGCAAAGGAAATGTAAGAAAATACCACCATGTTACTGACATCGTGACTTTGAACAGCATTCATTATAAAAAACGGGGACTGAAAATGGATACTTCATGTTCAAGTTGTAGCTGCTCAAATAACTTCCGTTTCTATATAGATCAGAAATATTTCTTTCAGCATGATTTGGTGTCCTAGTTCCTCGATTATATTGTGGTAAGCTAGTCACACTTATATGGTGAATATTTTAGCATTGCATGTCGTAAAATATGAGTACCATGTCATTTTTATTGTTAGTACTTTTTAAACATTAGATTATTAGAAATAAAGAGGGAACTGCATGGTGCTATTTGCAGTGTGATCGTGGCAAGGTTAAATACACGGCCTTTTTTTTTTTTGACGACCACCTTTACAAAACCCCACTGTTATGTCACGTATTGAGCATTTCGCGCGCGATTGGTGCGTCATCAGAGGGACGTGTGCGTCATTTAGACGTAGGCAATTTGAAAATTGCGCTGCCGCACTTTACTTCTTGTAGTGGAAAACAAAACTGCATCACGCGAACTGTCGCCCGCTCGTCCAACTGGCGCAGTTGAGGGTGCAGACGCAAGTGAATACGAAGCATATCTTAGTCAGCTGAGACGATATTGAGCGTATCTATCTATCTATCTATCTATCTATCTATCTATCTATCTATCTATCTATCTATCTATCTATCTATCTATCTATCTATCTATCTATCTATCTATCTATCTATCTATCTATCTATCTATCTATCTATCTATCTATCTATCTATCTATCTATCTATCTATCTATCTATCTATCTATCTATCTATCTATCTATCTATCCATCTATTTATCTATCTAGCTATCCACTTATAATTTTGTGCTGCACATACCGGATTGTTAATTATATTTACACCAAAATTGATATGTCGTCACCTAACTGCATGACAAACATGAATGAATGGTGATACCAAGAAAATCTTGACTAACTTGTTTTATATGGTTTAGTTTACACGCCAGGGTCATTGTGCTGCTTCAGCTGTTTCCTTAAATCTGTATATCCAAATATAGGTGTGACGAGAGATTCCTGTTTAATGAACATAAATGACAGGTGATAATATGAGAATTATGACGCGACCATCATGCACAATTTCATTTACATAGCACGCTCGTGGCATCTTCACTAGCTTTATATAGACTAATTTTGCTATTGCATGGCATGCCGTTATGAGGGTAACACCGATAGTTGGGAATGTTCGCGTAGGTTGATGTCTAAAACAGGCGCAAATCGCGAGACACAAACGAAGAATACAAAAGATGGCGCTGGTGATTGTGTATTCTTCGTTTATGCCTCGTGTTCTTGCACCAATTTTAACCTTCGACTCGGTGACGACCATAAATAACAGGTGGTCATGTGGAAATCATAGCATGCTATGTGCAACAGACTTGCATGCCGTTCGCATGACATGCCAATGGCGGTTTCGCAAGCTGCATGTACACGAAATGAGGTGTATCGTGACGAGGCTATGTCGAACATCAGACGCAGGTGGTAATATGAAAATCATAAAAATCATAGTGCAACATGACTGCCATGCCACGCTCATGGCGCGCTCGCGGTAATTTCTTGAGCCGGATATAAATAAAACCTTGTATATTGTGAAGTGGCTGTATAAAGAATTTAGGTGAGTATTATGAAAATAATGACATGTGCAGCATGATTTCCATGTCACACTCATGGATGGCTGAAAGCCTATTCGCTCATTTGACATGCGCCGAATTTAGAAGAACGTGACGTGACTGCATGACGAAGATAAATTGCAAGTGGCAGTGCGGAAATCATGCCATGTTATGCTCAACAAGATTGGCATGCCACGCTCATGATGAACTCGTGGCCGTTTCGCTAGCTTGATATACACCAAGTTTTTAATTTTGACGTTCCTGTATGACGTACATAAGTGGTAGCTGGTAACATGCCAAATATAACATGTTGTGAGCAACACGACGAGCATGCCGCACTCATGGAATGCTACCGGTTAGCTCGCTAGCTTGACATACTCTGAACTTGGTATTGCAGGACGTGTCTGTAGGAGAAACCTAACTGAAAGCAAAGCGGAAACCATGAAAGCTGTGTCTTGTACAACATGATTTACATGTCACGCTGATAGTACACTAATGTTCCTTCGCTAGCTTGATATATAACAAGTTTAACATTGCGTGACGTAACTGTATGGCGAACATCAGTGTCAGATGGTGGCATAAAAATCATGAAATTCATGCCATATAACACGCCAATTACAAGCCATGCTCCTAATGTGCTTGCGTCCAGTTTGCTAGCTTGATATAGGCCATAGCAGGTGCTGCCTGAAGCGACTGTATGTTGAACATAAATGACAGGGGGTAAGACGAGTATCTATACATGCACCTATTTTAAAAAGTGATTTATATATCATGCATATTCATGGTGCACTCCCGGCCGTTTTGATAGGCTGACATACGTACAAATGGCTATTACATGACATGAGTGTATGAGAAACACAAATTACGGATGCTAACATGTAAATTCTGATATATATATTATGGGCAGTACGGTCTCCTTCTTGCTAACTTCTTTGCATTACATCGATTCACACAATGCATTTGATCTGCCACCTTTTTGTTTGGTTTCGTCCAATGCCTCCATATTGAACAGACCACACCGCATCGGGAAGGATTTTTTCTTAGCTGGCATTATACTGTCGATCGCTTTTGACGAAAATCTAACCGAAAATTTTGGCACGAGATCACTGCTCTTTTGTTACTGTGCGGGTGCACTAGCATACGTGGTAACGTGGGTGTTCTCTGCATATCCCGTTTCTATTTCGCCGAATGCATGTATGCGGTTCCACCTAACATTCACTTGCGAATGTGCTGTTTCAAAGTGTGCGTATTCATACTGTGATTCGCTTTAATGATATTTAGGGGTTTTTGTTTTTTGGGTATGCTAAAAACACACTTGCCTCCAAAGGTATGCAAAGTTTATGCAACTTACATATTTCATAGCATACTTGTACAGCATATACCGCGAGCTCTTTTATGAAAGATCGGTACAATTTAATAGAATACGGAAGCCTGCTCGGGAGAAGAATAGAATAGTTTAAACTCACCATACGTTAGGCCGGCAAACGTCACGAGAAAGGCAGCTGTATGTCTCGCCATGGCACACAGAATACGCTGCTCTATGTCCTTCCCTAATATGAAAGATATTGTTAGAAGAGCCACGTTACTATGTGAAATTTTGTCTTTTTACTTCTTGCTGATGTTATGGCAGTTATGGCGGCAACACATTTTTGATTTTGAACCCATGGCCACCGGCCAACGTTTCGAAGCAAAACACGTGAAGACTCAGTGCTGTTTAGAAACAAAATTCTCGCCTCATCATGGGGATTCCTGAAGGGATTTTTCAATCGCGTCACGCAGCACATAACTAACCATTCCTGTAGCCCTCGCTGCAGCAAAATATTTTCTAAGGTGTTTTTTCTGATTGGAGGCAATACCTATTCAACTTCAACCTATATTATTGTAATGCATTTGAATTTATCAGTCTAAAATTATAAAACTTTATGCCTTCATTTGCGACTCCGCTATTGCTAGTTGAAGTAATACAGCATAGCGTTTGCCTCTATTTAGTTTTTCGTCCTATACAGCTATTGTTGATTGTTTGATAGTTTAGTTCGATGCCAGTATTTTCCACATCTTCAAAGTATGAAAGTTTAAAGTTTACATTGTATTCCAATCACCGAGTCGGATTAACCGATTGGCTCCGCGTGCAAGTGCTCGAATTTGGTGTAGACTAACGCCCACAAATCTGCGATTGGGACACAACCCACCCCACAAGAGAGAGGCATCAGTGGAAGTTGTACATTTCGGGCACTAACTGTCGGCGGTAACTGGTGTTTAAGTTTGATATTTAGCAGCCAAATTTCCTTATTCCCACTGAAACACAACACGTTGGGCGTCGACGTTACTATCTAAATAATAGCTCCTGCAGCAACTGGGCCTTTTTGAGTAGGAGAGGTCACTATCGAGCAGCGCTAGCAACGCCATTATAATTGCTCTGTTTTCCATGCCATGCACTTTTATCATCAAAACATGCGACTGCCGGCACGGTCGCGGGTGTCTCCGAGCAGCCAAACTTGTTAAACGAAGTGCATGACGCAGAATTCTGACCCTTCCGTTAGTTTGGTTTTGTCAATCATATGGTTAAACAGAACGGGAAACGATCATTTACTCTTGCATAGGAATGTTAAAGGATATAAAAATCACTCGTTTGTCTCACGGTAGAACACCTGTTGTGATGTCTTTAAGGAGCCCACCGTAGACTTATTTGCTAAACTACTGCACTGCAAGAAAGTGGCCACGAAATTCGTAAATATGCAGGAGCATTTTACTGATCCTGACCTAAAGCTTCGCCACTTTTGCGCTGCCCGTAGAAAAAAAAAAGCGTCTGCTACACAGGAAAGAAGGTAACCCAGAGTTTAAAACAGGACTGAATAGAATTAACGTCGTGATTTTCGGACACACTAAAAGAATAAGATGACAACAATGGGCAGCATCCTGTTCAAGCTCTAGTGTGGGGATTAGTTTTTTTTTTCTGGCACTCACTCTGCGACTATTTGTGTTAGTGCGTGTTGCAGGTATCTTTTTTTTTTGTCATTTACACGCGTCGAGTTCAGACTGAGCCGCTTCTTGGCATCACTAAGGGAGCATTCCAACGCAAGTTTGCATTGAGCGGGTATAAATTGGCTACGCAAATGGCATTCTTGAAGTTTGAATGAGTGCGTGGCGGTACTTGCCGGGAAGCCAGCTTAAGCCCTGCCAAAAAGATTTTTACAAATAGCGAATGCATGTTGAGGAGGCTGCATTCTCATAACGACTTGTATGTTCTACCATCTTGCCAATAAGCAGTCTTTAAGGCTTGGAGAATATGGGTGGCTCGTATTCGCATCACGCGATGTACAAGCACTGCTAGCAAGCTCCAAAAGCTTTTCTCAAACTACGGAAAACTTCTAAAGAATATGGAATAAGTCACAGTTCAGCTTCATTTCACACATGATTTTTTTGGTCAGTGATCATCAACTTCGGGACAAACACTACGTTATACTACCGAAAAAGACGTCCTAAAGCCCTACGAGACAGACAGTGTTAAGCAAATAGCAGCAACTTTGTGCTGTATTAAGAAGTGTATTAGATTTGCTCAGAGATAGAAGAAGCAAAGGTGAGGAAATTAATTAGAAACAGGGCACCGCTAGCACTGCTGTAAGAATCTCCTTGACAGAGACTTATTAAAGCTCGCGCTTCACCGAACCGTAGAAAATATTACTTCCACCGCGTTTTATATACAGAGCAGTAGTGTCGTTCCCCTCTTGGTAAGGCTAATTAAGCCGATACTTTCTATGTATTTTCAGAGGAAGAAAACCTGGTACACAAGTTATCAAGTAATTACCGGTTTCTGCTATGTAGCAACAGCGATCAAAACTTAGTTCTGCAATTACAGTGATAGTTGCTACGGTGAAAGGCCTTTTTTTCAATTATGAAATCTGGTCACGCGTCTCATCAAAACGCGAAAACATCTGAACTCCATTTGCAAATATATCGGTGATAATACAATATACAAGTTTCAATGCTAGCGAGCAAGTGACATCGCTTGGGGATCGTCGGACAGGTTGAATGCGCAGTAAGGAAAAGTTTTTCAATGTCGCATCGAAAGCATGGAGGACAACTATTTAATTGTACTTATCTCATCAATGCATGAAAGTACCGTCATCACACTGACATAATTATTAGTGGCGACAGAAGCTATTTATTGGTTGGTGTGTGAACAGTATTGTCATTTACGCTTGACTGACTGACGGAACGCAGAATGAGAACTTAACGTTTTCAAAGAGCTTCACGATGTGGCATCGACTGCATGATTAATGACGCTTTTTTCTCTGCTTTGCCTGATCTTCGTTACACTTAACAGTATGTTGTTTCTCACAAATATCATGCGTTAGTAGAAAGAAGCCCTACATCTTGGGTAACCATACAGTTGGTGTAAAGATGTCATCGAAAGCAAATCTTAGAAAAAAAAAGGTTTTTTGTTCACTTTAGATGAATGCAAAGCAACTTCAGCGTCCTATTTTGCTCTCAGTGAATTTGCTGATATGAGCGATTTCGAATAGCGTCACTCACTTCTGGTAACATAGCAGTGTGCACTGTGTACAGATGATAAAAATGCTCTCCACGTTACCCATAAGGCAATACATTAACCATTTTCCTACCTAACACGACCTGATCTCGTTCACAGAGTTCGAAGTACTAATGTACTCTAAGAGAAAAAAAATTAGAGCATATCCACGGAGTGAACGATGATGAGCGTGGCGAAGCGTCCGTCAACCCGTCCAAGCTTCCCTCCGTCCGTTCTTTTTTGCTTCTGTCCGTGCGCGCGACCATTCGTACGTCCATCCAGGCGTCCATCCCTCTGTCCATGCGTGCATCCGTGAGTCCGTTCATTCGTCTGTCCGCCCGTTCGTGAATCCATCCGTCCGTAAGTCCGCGCGTCCATCCATCCGTCCGTCCATGTGCTAGACTGTCCGTCCGTCCGTGCATCTGTCCATCCAAGCGCCCATCTAGTGAACGCTTCGAGTACCGCCATGTCGCATTCCTTGTGCACATACCGAGCTCGGCGCGTCCGTCCGTCTCATAGTGTGTCTGTCTGTCCGTCCTTCCATGCGTCCATCCGTGCATCCATCTAGTGAACACTCCAAGTACCGCCATCTTCCACCTCGCCTCCCCTGTGGCACATGCCCGCTCTAGACCGGGTATACGCCCGGTGGCTACGTACAACATCGGAGGATGTACAGACCCACGCCTTAAGAAGCTTCACTCCTAAAAAAGGAAGACTCTTTAGGAAGGGTCACTGCACCCTGAGTAGCTTCGTTTATTCATTTGACTCATTTCGGAGGGTAGATTCTGAAATAGACAGTTCACTGTTCTGTAGAAGTGATTTCACTCTCGTGAAGCGCACTTTGATTGGCCCCCATAGTGAAGACGTCTGCTTATATTTGCCGTGCTCATCGCGTGGCTGATGGTCGGTGCTTTATAAGCATGCTGCGCGACATGGCGCTGCTGCTCGCAGGTGTAGCGACGGTAAAGCTGGTACCTCCTTTTTGCCTATAATGTCTTTTGGAGTGTGTGGCGCGACTTGTATATTCTGTTTGAGAAAGAGAGCTCTCATTCGGTTGCGGTCATGCCATATTGTACTCTGAGGCTTCGTTCCCGAGTTGACCCTTCGATGGGGCTATATTCGGGGATCTACAGACAGGCACGCCTTGCGCCTGCTAGGAGTGAGTGTACTGCATTTGTAGGCGTCGAACATTTTAAAGACGATGTCCTTATTTGGGGACCTTTAACGCAAAAGTTCTGGTCTGTCTGTCTGTCTGTCTGTCTGTCTGTCTGTCGGTCTGTCTGTCTGTCCGTCGACAACGGTGCCTTAAATAGCACCAGACGTTACCCCAAACGGCTGTCCCCATCCGCACCACCCACCAATATTGCTCAAGATTCAGCGTTCATACTTGTGCGATTATCAATCAGAAAGCAAATATTGCGCATATTTGAGGCACCATACCAAGAAGCCCATATTTGGTATGTATTTATTTTACAAGAAAAAGCATACGTGAAAAATTCTGAGGACCGCAGCGTTTATCACGCTGCGCTGCCCATGCAATACTTGCACGAACAGGCACGTGTTTCCAAGGCTTCGCTAAGACGACACGGTGGTGGCACCTACCCATTGCCTTGCATTTCACGTTTTAAAACCTCAGAAACGAGCGCGCACTCCGCGCGCTTTGTTCTGCAAGATAACAGCCGAATAGCGCTCATGTCTCATGTGTGACGTTACTGGATGCGCTTGGCCGCCTCCACTGCACGCTCGTGGCACTCTAACGCTGCGCCTCCGGAATATCATTCACCATTTGTGGTGCGTAGAACATGAAATAAACGTTTTGTTCACCCTCTCTAGAAGCAAGACTATCGTCTTTCGACGAGATTTGCAGTGTTACATGCAAATACGGGGTTATTTTTTTTTGACGTCTGCAGCAGCTTTTCAGAAGTAGGCTGCACGTCATTCTCAATGTTATATAGCCTGCATCCCTGGGGCTGTTCCGTATGCCCAAGGAACACAGTCTATTGAGTTCAGCTTGCTACGCGCGTCGTTGAACAC